ACGCCGGCATCCTGAGCCACCGTCGCAGCCACAGAGCACGCAACAGCCAATGCCCCCGCAGTCGCCGCCACCAAAATCGCCACCACCGAATTCACCGCCACAACAGTCGTCGCCACGACGGCAGGAGTCACCGAAGGAGCCGCCACAGGAACAGGCACAGCAGCCCCAGTGGGGTGGTCCGGAGAACGCGGTATGCGGGCAATTTGTGTCGCAAAGCGTTCACACGGCAGTGAGGAGTGGCATGGTATGGCACCACCAAACGATACACATCACGTGGGCGTCGGGACCCGCACCGTCGGAAAGGCGCAGCAAGACCGGTAAATACCGCCCCCGAAGTTTCTTGGGAGGAGGACATGCCAGGCCTAGCCAGCTGAAGCAACGTCCTGACGCGATCCACGGCAGCACCGAAGGCTGGCAGAGGAGACGGCGTCGGAGGCACGGGAGCAGGTTGAATGTGAAGACGGGCCTGGTTGACAGAACGGCGGGGCAGCAGCAGCCACAACAGGGTGAAGAGGCACCCTTATGGGAACGCCGGCATCCTGAGCCACCGTCGCAGCCACAGAGCACGCAACAGCCAACGCCCCCGCAGTCGCCGCCACCAAAATCGCCACCACCGAATTCACCGCCACAACAGTCGTCGCCACGACGGCAGGAGTCACCGAAGGAGCCGCCACAAGAACAGGCACAGCAGCCCCAGTGGGGTGGTCCGGAGAACGCGGTATGCGGGCCATTTGTGTCGCAAAGCGTTCACACGGCAGTGAGGAGTGGCATGGTATGGCACCACCAAACGATACACATCACGTGGGCGTCGGGAACCGCACCGTCGGATATAGCCACTATAACGTAATCTGCCAGTAAATATCCCTGTTTCACTCTAACTCTGAAGTTTCTTATCGGATCAGGACATGCCACGCCTCCTAGCCATCTGTACAACGTCCTGATTGTGTCAATGCCTTCTGGAGAATGTGCAGGATCTTTTGCAATCAATTTGCCTACGAAGCCCACGAAGGGAACGAGGAGGAGGCTTTGCCTCCTCCGAGGTTCTTAAAGGTGAAGACGGGCCTGGTTGACAGACCGGCGGGGCAGCAGCAGCCACAACAGGGTGAAGAGGCACCCTTATGGGAACGCCGGCATCCTGAGCCACCGTCGCAGCCACAGAGCACGCAACAGCCAATGCCCCCGCAGTCGCCGCCACCAAAATCGCCACCACCGAATTCACCGCCACAACAGTCGTCGCCACGACGGCAGGAGTCACCGAAGGAGCCGCCACAGGAACAGGCACAGCAGCCCCAGTGGGGTGGTCCGGAGAACGCGGTATGCGGGCAATTTGTGTCGCAAAGCGTTCACACGGCAGTGAGGAGTGGCATGGTATGGCACCACCAAACGATACACATCACGTGGGCGTCGGGAACCGCACCGTCGGATATAGCCACTATAACGTAATCTGCCAGTAAATATCCCTGTTTCACTCTAACTCTGAAGTTTCTTATCGGATCAGGACATGCCACGCCTCCTAGCCATCTGTACAACGTCCTGATTGTGTCAATGCCTTCTGGAGAATGTGCAGGATCTTTTGCAATCAATTTGCCTACGAAGCCCACGAAGGGAACGAGGAGGAGGCTTTGCCTCCTCCGAGGTTCTTAAAGGTGAAGACGGGCCTGGTTGACAGACCGGCGGGGCAGCAGCAGCCACAACAGGGTGAAGAGGCACCCTTATGGGAACGCCGGCATCCTGAGCCACCGTCGCAGCCACAGAGCACGCAACAGCCAATGCCCCCGCAGTCGCCGCCACCAAAATCGCCACCACCGAATTCACCGCCACAACAGTCGTCGCCACGACGGCAGGAGTCACCGAAGGAGCCGCCACAGGAACAGGCACAGCAGCCCCAGTGGGGTGGTCCGGAGAACGCGGTATGCGGGCAATTTGTGTCGCAAAGCGTTCACACGGCAGTGAGGAGTGGCATGGTATGGCACCACCAAACGATACACATCACGTGGGCGTCGGGACCCGCACCGTCGGAGGCGCAGCAAGACCGGAAGGTATGGGAGGAGGAGCCAGGAGCCGCGAAGCAACGCGCGCGATCCACGGCAGCACCGAAGGCTGGCAGGAGGAAACGGCGTCGGAGGCACGGGAGCAGGTGAATGTGAAGACGGGCCTGGTTGACAGAACGGCGGGGCAGCAGCAGCCACAACAGGGTGAAGAGGCACCCTTATGGGAACGCCGGCATCCTGAGCCACCGTCGCAGCCACAGAGCACGCAACAGCCAACGCCCCCGCAGTCGCCGCCACCAACATCGCCACCACCGAATTCACCGCCACAACAGTCGTCGCCACGACGGCAGGAGTCACCGAAGGAGCCGCACAAACAGGCACAGCAGCCCCAGTGGGGTGGTCCGGAGAACGCGGTATGCGGGCCATTTGTGTCGCAAAGCGTTCACACGGCAGTGAGGAGTGGCATGGTATGGCACCACCAAACGATACACATCACGTGGGCGTCGGGAACCGCACCGTCGGATATAGCCACTATAACGTAATCTGCCAGTAAATATCCCTGTTTCACTCTAACTCTGAAGTTTCTTATCGGATCAGGACATGCCACGCCTCCTAGCCATCTGTACAACGTCCTGATTGTGTCAATGCCTTCTGGAGAATGTGCAGGATCTTTTGCAATCAATTTGCCTACGAAGCCCACGAAGGGAACGAGGAGGAGGCTTTGCCTTCTCCGAGGTTCTTAAAGGTGAAGACGGGACTGGTTGACAGACCGGCGGGGCAGCAGCAGCCACAACAGGGTGAAGAGGCACCCTTATGCGAACGCCGGCATCCTGAGCCACCGTCGCAGCCACAGAGCACGCAACAGCCAATGCCCCCACAGTCGCCGCCACCAAAATCGCCACCACCGAATTCACCGCCACAACAGTCGTCGCCACGACAGCAGGAGTCACCGAAGGAGCCGCCACAGGAACAGGCACAGCAGCCCCAGTGGGGTGGTCCGGAGAACGCGGTATGCGGGCAATTTGTGTCGCAAAGCGTTCACACGGCAGTGAGGAGTGGCATGGTATGGCACCACCAAACGATACACATCACGTGGGCGTCGGGAACCGCACCGTCGGATATAGCCACTATAACGTAATCTGCCAGTAAATATCCCTGTTTCACTCTAACTCTGAAGTTTCTTATCGGATCAGGACATGCCACGCCTCCTAGCCATCTGTACAACGTCCTGATTGTGTCAATGCCTTCTGGAGAATGTGCAGGATCTTTTGCAATCAATTTGCCTACGAAGCCCACGAAGGGAACGAGGAGGAGGCTTTGCCTTCTCCGAGGTTCTTAAAGGTGAAGACGGGACTGGTTGACAGACCGGCGGGGCAGCAGCAGCCACAACAGGGTGAAGAGGCACCCTTATGCGAACGCCGGCATCCTGAGCCACCGTCGCAGCCACAGAGCACGCAACAGCCAATGCCCCCACAGTCGCCGCCACCAAAATCGCCACCACCGAATTCACCGCCACAACAGTCGTCGCCACGACAGCAGGAGTCACCGAAGGAGCCGCCACAGGAACAGGCACAGCAGCCCCAGTGGGGTGGTCCGGAGAACGCGGTATGCGGGCAATTTGTGTCGCAAAGCGTTCACACGGCAGTGAGGAGTGGCATGGTATGGCACCACCAAACGATACACATCACGTGGGCGTCGGGAACCGCACCGTCGGATATGGCGCAGCAATTACCGTAATCTGCCAGTAAATATCCCTGTTTCACTCTAACTCTGAAGTTTCTTATCGGATCAGGACATGCCACGCCTCCTAGCCATCTGTACAACGTCCTGATTGTGTCATAGGCCTTCTGGAGAATGTGCAGGATCTTTTGCAATCGAATTTGCCTACGAAGCCCACGAAGGGAAGAGGAGAGAGGCTTTGCCTTCTTCGAGGTCCTAAAAGGTGAAGACGGGCCTGGTTGACAGACCGGCGGGGCAGCAGCAGCCACAACAGGGTGAAGAGGCACCCTTATGGGAACGCCGGCATCCTGAGCCACCGTCGCAGCCACAGAGCACGCAACAGCCAATGCCCCCGCAGTCGCCGCCACCAAAATCGCCACCACCGAATTCACCGCCACAACAGTCGTCGCCACGACGGCAGGAGTCACCGAAGGAGCCGCCACCCAGTGGGGTGGTCCGGAGAACGCGGTATGCGGGCCATTTGTGTCGCAAAGCGTTCACACGGCAGTGAGGAGTGGCATGGTATGGCACCACCAAACGATACACATCACGTGGGCGTCGGGAACCGCACCGTCGGATATAGCCACTATAACGTAATCTGCCAGTAAATATCCCTGTTTCACTCTAACTCTGAAGTTTCTTATCGGATCAGGACATGCCACGCCTCCTAGCCATCTGTACAACGTCCTGATTGTGTCAATGCCTTCTGGAGAATGTGCAGGATCTTTTGCAATCAATTTGCCTACGAAGCCCACGAAGGGAACGAGGAGGAGGCTTTGCCTCCTCCGAGGTTCTTAAAGGTGAAGACGGGCCTGGTTGACAGACCGGCGGGGCAGCAGCAGCCACAACAGGGTGAAGAGGCACCCTTATGGGAACGCCGGCATCCTGAGCCACCGTCGCAGCCACAGAGCACGCAACAGCCAATGCCCCCGCAGTCGCCGCCACCAAAATCGCCACCACCGAATTCACCGCCACAACAGTCGTCGCCACGACGGCAGGAGTCACCGAAGGAGCCGCCACAGGAACAGGCACAGCAGCCCCAGTGGGGTGGTCCGGAGAACGCGGTATGCGGGCCATTTGTGTCGCAAAGCGTTCACACGGCAGTGAGGAGTGGCATGGTATGGCACCACCAAACGATACACATCACGTGGGCGTCGGGACCCGCACCGTCGGAGGCGCAGCAAGACCGGAAGGTATGGGAGGGAGGAGCCAGCCCCGCGAAGCAACGCGCGCGATCCACGGCAGCACCGAAGGCAGGCAGAGGCCAGGGCGGCAGAGGAGACGGCGTCGATGGCAAGGGAGCCAGCGACAGCGGCAGCGGGAACACACGCAGCAGCGGAGGCACCGGCTGCGACGGCGGCCGGGAAGCCGGCGGCAGCGACGGAGACGCCGACAGAGGCACCGACACCGGCAGCGGCAGCGACGGAGGAACCGGCAGCGCCAGCGACAGCGTCGAAGACCGCAGCGGACCGGAACAGCGACGCCAGCAGCGCGGCCACCAGCCGAGGCCATGCGGAGGGCCATATGGCGGCCGCCGGCCACGAGGCGCGACGCGGGACGGCGCGGAGGAGCCCGAAGGAAGGCGCGGAAGGCGCAGGGAGGCGCGCTACAAGGCCATATGCGGGAGGCACGGGACGCCCTGCAGCGGCAGATGGAGGCTGCGGCGTGAAGCCGAAGCCCACGAAGGGAACGAGGAGGAGGATCCGCCTCCCGAGGTTCTTAAAGGTGAAGACGGGCCTGGTTGACAGAACGGCGGGGCAGCAGCAGCCACAACAGGGTGAAGAGGCACCCTTATGGGAACGCCGGCATCCTGAGCCACCGTCGCAGCCACAGAGCACGCAACAGCCAATGCCCCCGCAGTCGCCGCCACCAAAATCGCCACCAACGAATTCACCGCCACAACAGTCGTCGCCACGACGGCAGGAGTCACCGAAGGAGCCGCCACAGGAACAGGCACAGCAGCCCCAGTGGGGTGGTCCGGAGAACGCGGTATGCGGGCCATTTGTGTCGCAAAGCGTTCACACAGGCAGTGAGGAGTGGCATGGTATGGCACCACCAAACGATACACATCACGTGGGCGTCGGGAACCGCACCGTCGGATATAGCCACTATAACGTAATCTGCCAGTAAATATCCCTGTTTCACTCTAACTCTGAAGTTTCTTATCGGATCAGGACATGCCACGCCTCCTAGCCATCTGTACAACGTCCTGATTGTGTCAATGCCTTCTGGAGAATGTGCAGGATCTTTTGCAATCAATTTGCCTACGAAGCCCACGAAGGGAACGAGGAGGAGGCTTTGCCTCCTCCGAGGTTCTTAAAGGTGAAGACGGGCCTGGTTGACAGACCGGCGGGGCAGCAGCAGCCACAACAGGGTGAAGAGGCACCCTTATGGGAACGCCGGCATCCTGAGCCACCGTCGCAGCCACAGAGCACGCAACAGCCAATGCCCCCACAGTCGCCGCCACCAAAATCGCCACCACCGAATTCACCGCCACAACAGTCGTCGCCACGACGGCAGGAGTCACCGAAGGAGCCGCCACAGGAACAGGCACAGCAGCCCCAGTGGGGTGGTCCGGAGAACGCGGTATGCGGGCAATTTGTGTCGCAAAGCGTTCACACGGCAGTGAGGAGTGGCATGGTATGGCACCACCAAACGATACACATCACGTGGGCGTCGGGAACCGCACCGTCGGATATAGCCACTATAACGTAATCTGCCAGTAAATATCCCTGTTTCACTCTAACTCTGAAGTTTCTTATCGGATCAGGACATGCCACGCCTCCTAGCCATCTGTACAACGTCCTGATTGTGTCAATGCCTTCTGGAGAATGTGCAGGATCTTTTGCAATCAATTTGCCTACGAAGCCCACGAAGGGAAGGGTTCTTAAAGGTGAAGACGGGCCTGGTTGACAGACCGGCGGGGCAGCAGCAGCCACAACAGGGTGAAGAGGCACCCTTATGGGAACGCCGGCATCCTGAGCCACCGTCGCAGCCACAGAGCACGCAACAGCCAATGCCCCCACAGTCGCCGCCACCAAAATCGCCACCACCGAATTCACCGCCACAACAGTCGTCGCCACGACGGCAGGAGTCACCGAAGGAGCCGCCACAGGAACAGGCACAGCAGCCCCAGTGGGGTGGTCCGGAGAACGCGGTATGCGGGCAATTTGTGTCGCAAAGCGTTCACACGGCAGTGAGGAGTGGCATGGTATGGCACCACCAAACGATACACATCACGTGGGCGTCGGGACCCGCACCGTCGGAGGCGCAGTAAAGACCGGAAGGTATGGGAGGAGGAGCCAGGAGCCGCGAAGCAACGCGCGCGATCCACGGCAGCACCGAAGGCTGGCAGAGGAGACGGCGTCGGAGGCACGGGAGCAGGTGAAGGTGAAGACGGGCCTGGTTGACAGAACGGCGGGGCAGCAGCAGCCACAACAGGGTGAAGAGGCACCCTTATGGGAACGCCGGCATCCTGAGCCACCGTCGCAGCCACAGAGCACGCAACAGCCAACGCCCCCGCAGTCGCCGCCACCAAAATCGCCACCACCGAATTCACCGCCACAACAGTCGTCGCCACGACGGCAGGAGTCACCGAAGGAGCCGCCACAGGAACAGGCACAGCAGCCCCAGTGGGGTGGTCCGGAGAACGCGGTATGCGGGCCATTTGTGTCGCAAAGCGTTCACACGGCAGTGAGGAGTGGCATGGTATGGCACCACCAAACGATACACATCACGTGGGCGTCGGGAACCGCACCGTCGGATATAGCCACTATAACGTAATCTGCCAGTAAATATCCCTGTTTCACTCTAACTCTGAAGTTTCTTATCGGATCAGGACATGCCACGCCTCCTAGCCATCTGTACAACGTCCTGATTGTGTCAATGCCTTCTGGAGAATGTGCAGGATCTTTTGCAATCAATTTGCCTACGAAGCCCACGAAGGGAACGAGGAGGAGGCTTTGCCTCCTCCGAGGTTCTTAAAGGTGAAGACGGGCCTGGTTGACAGACCGGCGGGGCAGCAGCAGCCACAACAGGGTGAAGAGGCACCCTTATGGGAACGCCGGCATCCTGAGCCACCGTCGCAGCCACAGAGCACGCAACAGCCAATGCCCCCGCAGTCGCCGCCACCAAAATCGCCACCACCGAATTCACCGCCACAACAGTCGTCGCCACGACGGCAGGAGTCACCGAAGGAGCCGCCACAGGAACAGGCACAGCAGCCCCAGTGGGGTGGTCCGGAGATCGCGGTATGCGGGCAATTTGTGTCGCAAAGCGTTCACACGGCAGTGAGGAGTGGCATGGTATGGCACCACCATGGGAGGAGGAGCCAGCCCCGCGAAGCAACGCGCGCGATCCACGGCAGCACCGAAGGCAGGCAGAGGCCAGGGCGGCAGAGGAGACGGCGTCGGAGGCACGGGAGCCAGCGACAGCGGCAGCGGGAACGCACGCAGCAGCGGAGGCACCTGTTTCGACGGCGGCCGGGAAGCCGGCGGCAGCGACGGAGACGCCGACAGAGGCACCGACACCGCGCGGCAGCGACGGAGGACCGGCAGCGCCAGCGACAGCGTCGAAGAACCGGCAGCGGACACGGAAACAGCGACGCCAGCAGCGCGGCCACCAGCCGAGGCCAAGGAGGCCACATGGAACAGCGCCAGCCGGCGAGCGCGGCGAGGCGCGACGCGGGGGCGGCACCGAGGAGGCCCGAGGAAGGCGCAGAGAAGGCGCAAGGGAGGCGGCGCTGAACAAGGCCATAATGCGGGAGGCACGGGACGCCCTGCAGCGGCAGATGGAGGCTGCGCGGCGTGAAGCCGAAGCCCACGAGGGAACGAAGGAGGAGGATCCGCCCCCGAGGTTCTTAAAGGTGAAGACGGGCCTGGTTGACAGAACGGCGGGGCAGCAGCAGCCACAACAGGGTGAAGAGGCACCCTTATGGGAACGCCGGCATCCTGAGCCACCGTCGCAGCCACAGAGCACGCAACAGCCAATGCCCCCGCAGTCGCCGCCACCAAAATCGCCACCACCGAATTCACCGCCACAACAGTCGTCGCCACGACGGCAGGAGTCACCGAAGGAGCCGCCACAGGAACAGGCACAGCAGCCCCAGTGGGGTGGTCCGGAGAACGCGGTATGCGGGCAATTTGTGTCGCAAAGCGTTCACACGGCAGTGAGGAGTGGCATGGTATGGCACCACCAAACGATACACATCACGTGGGCGTCGGGAACCGCACCGTCGGATATAGCCACTATAACGTAATCTGCCAGTAAATATCCCTGTTTCACTCTAACTCTGAAGTTTCTTATCGGATCAGGACATGCCACGCCTCCTAGCCATCTGTACAACGTCCTGATTGTGTCAATGCCTTCTGGAGAATGTGCAGGATCTTTTGCAATCAATTTGCCTACGAAGCCCACGAAGGGAACGAGGAGGAGGCTTTGCCTCCTCCAGGTTCTTAAAGGCGAAGACGGGCCGGGCACCGCGCCCCCCCCCCGCCGCCAGCAGCCACCCGGGCCCGGGGGCGTGAAGGTGAAGACGGGCCTGGTTGACAGAACGGCGGGGCAGCAGCAGCCACAACAGGGTGAAGAGGCACCCTTATGGGAACGCCGGCATCCTGAGCCACCGTCGCAGCCACAGAGCACGCAACAGCCAACGCCCCCGCAGTCGCCGCCACCAAAATCGCCACCACCGAATTCACCGCCACAACAGTCGTCGCCACGACGGCAGGAGTCACCGAAGGAGCCGCCACAGGAACAGGCACAGCAGCCCCAGTGGGGTGGTCCGGAGAACGCGGTATGCGGGCAATTTGTGTCGCAAAGCGTTCACACGGCAGTGAGGAGTGGCATGGTATGGCACCACCAAACGATACACATCACGTGGGCGTCGGGAACCGCACCGTCGGATATAGCCACTATAACGTAATCTGCCAGTAAATATCCCTGTTTCACTCTAACTCTGAAGTTTCTTATCGGATCAGGACATGCCACGCCTCCTAGCCATCTGTACAACGTCCTGATTGTGTCAATGCCTTCTGGAGAATGTGCAGGATCTTTTGCAATCAATTTGCCTACGAAGCCCACGAAGGGAACGAGGAGGAGGCTTTGCCTCCTCCGAGGTTCTTAAAGGTGAAGACGGGCCTGGTTGACAGACCGGCGGGGCAGCAGCAGCCACAACAGGGTGAAGAGGCACCCTTATGGGAACGCCGGCATCCTGAGCCACCGTCGCAGCCACAGAGCACGCAACAGCCAATGCCCCCGCAGTCGCCGCCACCAAAATCGCCACCACCGAATTCACCGCCACAACAGTCGTCGCCACGACGGCAGGAGTCACCGAAGGAGCCGCCACAGGAACAGGCACAGCAGCCCCAGTGGGGTGGTCCGGAGAACGCGGTATGCGGGCAATTTGTGTCGCAAAGCGTTCACACGGCAGTGAGGAGTGGCATGGTATGGCACCACCAAACGATACACATCACGTGGGCGTCGGGAACCGCACCGTCGGATATAGCCACTATAACGTAATCTGCCAGTAAATATCCCTGTTTCACTCTAACTCTGAAGTTTCTTATCGGATCAGGACATGCCACGCCTCCTAGCCATCTGTACAACGTCCTGATTGTGTCAATGCCTTCTGGAGAATGTGCAGGATCTTTTGCAATCAATTTGCCTACGAAGCCCACGAAGGGAACGAGGAGGAGGCTTTGCCTCCTCCGAGGTTCTTAAAGGTGAAGACGGGCCTGGTTGACAGACCGGCGGGGCAGCAGCAGCCACAACAGGGTGAAGAGGCACCCTTATGGGAACGCCGGCATCCTGAGCCACCGTCGCAGCCACAGAGCACGCAACAGCCAATGCCCCCACAGTCGCCGCCACCAAAATCGCCACCACCGAATTCACCGCCACAACAGTCGTCGCCACGACGGCAGGAGTCACCGAAGGAGCCGCCACAGGAACAGGCACAGCAGCCCCAGTGGGGTGGTCCGGAGAACGCGGTATGCGGGCAATTTGTGTCGCAAAGCGTTCACACGGCAGTGAGGAGTGGCATGGTATGGCACCACCAAACGATACACATCACGTGGGCGTCGGGAACCGCACCGTCGGATATAGCCACTATAACGTAATCTGCCAGTAAATATCCCTGTTTCACTCTAACTCTGAAGTTTCTTATCGGATCAGGACATGCCACGCCTCCTAGCCATCTGTACAACGTCCTGATTGTGTCAATGCCTTCTGGAGAATGTGCAGGATCTTTTGCAATCAATTTGCCCCAGAAGCCCACGAAGGGAACGAGGAGGAGGCTTTGCCTCTTCCGAGGTTTCTTAAAGGTGAAGACGGGCCTGGTTGACAGACCGGCGGGGCAGCAGCAGCCACAACAGGGTGAAGAGGCACCCTTATGGGAACGCCGGCATCCTGAGCCACCGTCGCAGCCACAGAGCACGCAACAGCCAATGCCCCCACAGTCGCCGCCACCAAAATCGCCACCACCGAATTCACCGCCACAACAGTCGTCGCCACGACGGCAGGAGTCACCGAAGGAGCCGCCACAGGAACAGGCGGAGGCGCAGGAAGGTCGGAAGGTTGGGAGGAGGAGCCGCGAAGCAACGCGCGATGGCAGCACCGAAGGTTGGCAAGGGACGGCATCGGAGGCACGGGAGCAGGTGAAGGTGAAGACGGGCCTGGATCAGAACAGCCACGGCTCAGCCATCAGCCACAACAGTCGTGAAGTGGCAGCCTTCTGGAGAAGCCGGCAGATCCTTTGCAACCAGGTTGCAGCCACAAAGGACGCAACAGCCAACGCCCGCCAGTCCCCCACCCAACTCCCACCCATCGCCACCACCGAATGTCACCGCCACAACAGGAGGAGGGCGGCGCACCAAGGTGGGAAAGATGCCACTATGCGTACGAACGTTCTAATCATCTTATCGGATCAGGATGCCACCATCACCATAGGCATTCGGCCACCGGCACGTCGATGAGGCGCTGCAAGCCCTGAAGGTAAGGAGCACATCTTTGCAATCAATTCGCGAGCCATCACGGCAGCACCGAAGGCTGGCAGAGGAACGGCATCGGAGGCACGGGAGCAGGTGAAGGTGAAGACGGGCCTGGTTGACAGAACGGCGGGGCAGCAGCAGCCACAACGGGGTGAAGAGGCACCTTATGGGAACGTGCAGCATCCTGAGCCATCATTGCAGCCACAGAGCACGCAACAGCCATAGCCCCCACAGTCGCCGCCACCAACATCGCCACCACCGAATTCACCGCCACAACAGTCGTCGCCACGACGGCAGGAGTCACCGAAGGATCCGCCACATGAACACACAGCCCCAGTGGGGTGGTTCGGGAGAACGGAATGCGGGCCATTTGTGTCAAAGCGTTCACACATGGAGAAGTGGCATGGATCACCACCAAACGATACACCGCGACATAAAGGATATAGCCACTATAACGTAATCTGCCAGTAAATATCCCTGTTTCACTCTAACTCTGAAGTTTCTTATCGGATCAGGACATGCCACGCCTCCTAGCCATCTGTACAACGTCCTGAATGTGTCAATGCCTTCTGGAGAATGTGCAGGATCTTTTGCAATCAATTTGGATTGCAGGACATAAAGGATATAGCCACTAGTAATGTCTCCGGCCAGTAAATATCCCTGTTTCACTCTAACTCTGCAGTTTCTTATCGGATCAGGACATGCCACGCCTCCTAGCCATCTGTACAACGTCCTGAATGTGTCAATGCCTTCTGGAGAATGTGCAGGATCTTTTGCAATCAATTTGGATTGCAGGACATAAAGGATATAGCCACTATAACGTAACCTGCCAGTAAATATCCCTGTTTCACTCTAACTCTGCAGTTTCTTATCGGATCAGGACATGCCACGCCTCCTAGCCATCTGTACAACGTCCTGAATGTGTCAATGCCTTCTGGAGAATGTGCAGGATCTTTTGCAATCAATTTGGATTGCAGGACATAAAGGATATAGCCACTATAACGTATCCTGCCAGTAAATATCCCTGTTTCACTCTAACTCTGCAGTTTCTTATCGGATCAGGACATGCCACGCCTCCTAGCCATCTGTACAATGTCCTGAATGTGTCAATGCCTTCTGGAGAATGTGCAGGATCTTTTGCAATCAATTTGGATTGCAGGACATAAAGGATATAGCCACTATAACGTAATCCTGCCAGTAAATATCCCTGTTTCACTCTAACTCTGCAGTTTCTTATCGGATCAGGACATGCCACGCCTCCTAGCCATCTGTACAATGTCCTGAATGTGTCAATGCCTTCTGGAGAATGTGCAGGATCTTTTGGCAATCAATTTGGATTGCAGGACATAAAGGATATAGCCACTATAACGTATTCTGCCAGTAAATATCCCTCGTTTCACTCTAACTCTGAAGTTTCTTATCGGATCAGGACATGCCACGCCTCCTAGCCATCTGTACAACGTCCTGAATGTGTCAATGCCTTCTGGAGAATGTGCAGGATCTTTTGCAATCAATTTGGATTGCAGGACATAAGGGAAATAGCCACTATAACGTAATCTGCCAGTAAATATCCCTGTTTCACTCTAACTCTGCAGTTTCTTATCGGATCAGGACATGCCACGCCTCCTAGCCATCTGTACAACGTCCTGAATGTGTCAATGCCTTCTGGAGAATGTGCAGGATCTTTTGCAATCAATTTGGATTGCAGGACATAAAGGATATAGCCACTATAACGTAATCTGCCAGTAAATATCCCTGTTTCACTCTAACTCTGCAGTTTCTTATCGGATCAGGACATGCCACGCCTCCTAGCCATCTGTACAACGTCCTGAATGTGTCAATGCCTTCTGGAGAATGTGCAGGATCTTTTGCAATCAATTTGGATTGCAGGACATAAAGGATATAGCCACTATAACGTATCCTCGGCCAGTAAATATCCCTGTTTCACTCTTACTCTGCAGTTTCTTATCGGATCAGGACATGCCACGCCTCCTAGCCATCTGTACAACGTCCTGAATGTGTCAATGCCTTCTGGAGAATGGGCAGGATCTTTTGCAATCAATTTGGATTGCAGGACATAAAGGATATAGCCACTATAACGTAATCTGCCAGTAAATATCCCTGTTTCACTCTAACTCTGCAGTTTCTTATCGGATCAGGACATGCCACGCCTCCTAGCCATCTGTACAACGTCCTGAATGTGTCAATGCCTTCTGGAGAATGTGCAGGATCTTTTGCAATCAATTTGGATTGCAGGACATAAAGGATATAGCCACTATAACGTAATCTGCCAGTAAATATCCCTGTTTCATCTCTAACTCTGCAGTTTCTTATCGGATCAGGACATGCCACGCCTCCTAGCCATCTGTACAATGTCCTGAATGTGTCAATGCCTTCTGGAGAATGTGCAGGATCTTTTGCAATCAATTTGGATTGCAGGACATAAAGGATATAGCCACTATAACGTATCCTGCCAGTAAATATCCCTGTTTCACTCTAACCCTGCAGTTTCCTATCGGATCAGGACATGCCACGCCTCCTAGCCATCTGTACAACGTCCTGAATGTGTCAATGCCTTCTGGAGAATGTGCAGGATCTTTTGCAATCAATTTGGATTGCAGGACATAAAGGATATAGCCACTATAACGTAATCCTGCCAGTAAATATCCCTGTTTCACTCTAACTCTGCAGTTTCTTATCGGATCAGGACATGCCACGCCTCCTAGCCATCTGTACAACGTCCTGAATGTGTCAATGCCTTCTGGAGAATGTGCAGGATCTTTTGCAATCAATTTGGATTGCAGGACATAAAGGATATAGCCACTATAACGTAACCTGCCAGTAAATATCCCTGTTTCACTCTTAACTCTGAAGTTTCTTATCGGATCAGGACATGCCACGCCTCCTAGCCATCTGTACAACGTCCTGAATGTGTCAATGCCTTCTGGAGAATGTGCAGGATCTTTTGCAATCAATTTGGATTGCAGGACATAAAGGATATAGCCACTATAACGTAATCTGCCAGTAAATATCCCTGTTTCACTCTAACTCTGCAGTTTCTTATCGGATCAGGACATGCCACGCCTCCTAGCCATCTGTACAATGTCCTGAATGTGTCAATGCCTTCTGGAGAATGTGCAGGATCTTTTGCAATCAATTTGGATTGCAGGACATAAAGGATATAGCCACTATAACGTAACCTGCCAGTAAATATCCCTGTTTCACTCTAACTCTGCAGTTTCTTATCGGATCAGGACATGCCACGCCTCCTAGCCATCTGTACAACGTCCTGAATGTGTCAATGCCTTCTGGAGAATGTGCAGGATCTTTTGCAATCAATTTGGATTGCAGGACATAAAGGATATAGCCACTATAGCGTAATCGGCCAGTAACTATCCCTTTTTCTTTTAAATTTTGATCGTTTCTTATCGGATCAGGACATGCCACGCCTCCTAGCCATCTGTACAATGTCCTGAATGTGTCAATGCCTTCTGGAGAATGTGCAGGATCTTTTGCAATCAATTTGGATTGCAGGACATAAAGGATATAGCCACTATAACGTAATCTCCGGCCAGTAAACATCCCTGTTTCACTCTAACTCTGCAGTTTCTTATCGGATCAGGACATGCCACGCCTCCTAGCCATCTGTACAACGTCCTGAATGTGTCAATGCCTTCTGGAGAATGTGCAGGATCTTTTGCAATCAATTTGGATTGCAGGACATAAAGGATATAGCCACTATAACGTATCCTGCCAGTAAATATCCCTGTTTCACTCTAACTCTGAAGTTTCTTATCGGATCAGGACATGCCACGCCTCCTAGCCATCTGTACAATGTCCTGAATGTGTCAATGCCTTCTGGAGAATGTGCAGGATCTTTTGCAATCAATTTGGATTGCAGGACATAAAGGATATAGCCACTATAACGTATCTCTGCCAGTAAATATCCCTGTTTCATCTCTAACTCGGCAGTTTCTTATCGGATCAGGACATGCCACGCCTCCTAGCCATCTGTACAATGTCCTGAATGTGTCAATGCCTTCTGGAGAATGTGCAGGATCTTTTGCAATCAATTTGGATTGCAGGACATAAAGGATATAGCCACTATAACGTAATCTGCCAGTAAATATCCCTGTTTCACTCTTAACTCTGCAGTTTCTTATCGGATCAGGACATGCCACGCCTCCTAGCCATCTGTACAACGTCCTGAATGTGTCAATGCCTTCTGGAGAATGTGCAGGATCTTTTGCAATCAATTTGGATTGCAGGACATAAAGGATATAGCCACTATAACGTATCCGGCCAGTAAATATCCCTGTTTCACTCCTAACTCTGAAGTTTCTTATCGGATCAGGACATGCCACGCCTCCTAGCCATCTGTACAACGTCCTGAATGTGTCAATGCCTTCTGGAGAATGTGCAGGATCTTTTGCAATCAATTTGGATTGGAGGACATAAAGGATATAGCCACTATAACGTAATCCTGCCAGTAAATATCCCTGTTTCACTCTAACTCTGCAGTTTCTTATCGGATCAGGCCCCTCGACTAGCCATCTGTACAACGTCCTGAATGTGTCAATGCCTTCTGGAGAATGTGCAGGATCTTTTGCAATCAATTTGGATTGCAGGACATAAAGGATATAGCCACTATAACGGTATCCTGCCAGTAAATATCCCTGTTTCACTTTAACTCTGAAGTTTCTTATCGGATCAGGACATGCCACGCCTCCTAGCCATCTGTACAATGTCCTGAATGTGTCAATGCCTTCTGGAGAATGTGCAGGATCTTTTGCAATCAATTTGGATTGCAGGACATAAAGGATATAGCCACTATAACGTATCCGGCCAGTAAATATCCCTGTTTCACTCTAACTCTAGTTTCTTTTATCGGATCAGGACATGCCACGCCTCCTAGCCATCTGTACAACGTCCTGAATGTGTCAATGCCTTCTGGAGAATGTGCAGGATCTTTTGCAATCAATTTG